CAAATAAGTTTCCCCACATTTCAGTAAAATTCTTTTAATCAAAATTAAAAAGCATTTTCTGGCATGGCCATTGGGAAGTCACTTGAGTTCAAATAAAAAAACCCGGGCTTTTCCCTCAAAAAAATCGTATGGACAAGGTTAACAAGGTCGTTGTAGGTAACACTGATCAATCCTGATTACAGATTGTCCCGAAAAGGCCATTACTTAGTCAAAATGACTGTCTGATTTTATGGACCTTGAATAGACATCCTTATATGATCCTTACAACAAAGTATCAAGTTTAATGTGAATTTCTTAAGTAGTTTAGAAGATTTATGCTGCATGTACAAAATTTTTAAAATGTCAGACAAATTCCCAAATTCGGCAAAATCCCCTTCATGTATTTTTGTATATCTGGATATAATCCCCTCCATGGGGGACATAATCCCCCTTCATGTGTAAATTTGAAGTGACAAAATCCCCTCAACAACATGCACCTAGGAACAAAATCCCCTCGGATGTATTTTCTGTTTATATAGAGGGTATGAGAGCGACATACTGCATTATGCTGTGTAGTGATTGCTTTTGCTTTATTCGGGAATATTGGTTTAAACATCAGTTCTATACTGATAAGGCCTGTGCTAGATGGACAGTGTTGCAAAATTCATTTCTTCCTCACCATCTTCAGAATTCATAGACAAGTAGTTATAGTGTTTTTGAAATTATAAGAATTGTTTCAAATAAATAAAATGATGGCAATTTGACTTTTAAAACTTCAAAAATAATGAAAAACGCACTTTGTCTTATAATATATGTTATGCAGTTGATAATTTACCACAATCATAATGAACACTGCTAAACTTGTTTTTAATGATACTTTGGTTGATAATTGATCTGAACAAATAAAAACAATGTCTTATCAAGCTTATTAAATTATAAAGGTTAGCTTGATACATGATTATAAATAAAAAACAAAAGTTCATTATTCATCAATTTTTATGGAGCATAATAATACATTATTCATCAATTTTTTATGGAGCATAATAATACATTAGATACCTATGAAACAAAGGGATTTTGTCTGGGTAGGTAAGGGGATTTTGTCCAGCCTTCCAAAAACATGAAGGGGATTATGTCCACCCATGAAGGGTAATTTGTCCGGAAATGCGAAGGGGTTTTTGTCCGAAGGGGATTATGTCCGTACACCACAATTTTAGCCAGAAATTTTCTAAGTTTAAGAAATTCATTTATATAGTGAAAACTGATTAGTTAATTATCTCATACCCACGATTTAATTATATCGTGAGCACGATTTATTAACTCGTGGACACGACAAAGTATCTAGTGTGCAGGACATTGTTCCCGCGGCTTCGATATAGTATATCGTAACCAAGAGTAAATTATCTCGTGCACACAACTTAGTAACTTGTGGCCACGACATAGTATCTCGTGCGTACGACTTTGTTACTCGTAGCTACAACATAGCATATCGTGCGCACGAAATAGTAACTCGTGACCACGACAAAATATCTTGTGCGCGCAAAAATAGATAAACAAGAAAAGCATTGATGCAAAGCATCAAAGGGCGACGCCAAAAGAATTTGATCCAGGTTTGCACCTAAATACTTGACAAAAGTATGTACTTTATAACAGTACCATTACATGTGACCTGGAGGCTAGGCCCAGTTTAAGTTGAAACTTAAACCAAAAAGGATAGACTCTGTCTTGCCAAGATGCAAAGACAATTTATAGTCAATTAACCAATCTTATAAGACTCATACTATAAGAAAGAATTTCTTCAGATTATTTTACCAGACACAAGGATTCCTGAGTCATCAGTATATAATCACAGGCACGAGTATCGGACCTGGAAGGAAAAATATGACCAGATTGATAAAAAAACTGTGTTCATAAAAAAACAAAAAAAATGTTAATAATGACCCCTTTAAAATATTCTATTAGCTTAAAGTATATTTTTAAAAGGGTCATTATTTACATTTTATTTTGGTTTTTGACACTTTTAAGATGAACACAGGTTTTTTTTATCAATCTGGTCATATTTTTTCTTCCAGGTCTGATACTCGTGCCTGTGCATATAATAAAAGCTTATTGCTTAGGGTTGCAGACATGTCATTGACATATATAAGACATAAAAGAGGACCTAAAATGAACATCAGGGGGACACCATAGGTACTCTATCTATCTATACTCTATCAGAGATAAGACTTAAACCATGTAAGAATGTCATTACATATGGCAGATGCTTGAAGTTTCATGAAAAAGAAGAAAAAGAACTTCTTCATGTGCAGTATAGTGTGATCAACTGTATCAAATGCCATTGTAGATCTAAAAGTATCATGCAATACTCCTTTCTCCATTTCAAATTTAATGCAATCTGTTCAATGAATAAACATGTGTCAGCTTGAAAAAACACTTCTAAACCTGACTGAAACTGCCTGACCATGACTGCGAGCCCATGATTTCAGAAGACCAACTGAGCTATCCGGCCGGCTACATATTTTCTCTTTAATAATGAACAGTTTCTTAACCACAAATAATTCCCCACTATATTGATTTGTGTCCTTGAATTTCTTATGTTTACAGAGCATAGTGAATTAAACTCATGCTTATATGCAGTCACAGGATGAGAAAACTTTTAGCTTGACCAGAACTCGAACCTAATACCCACAGAATAATGTACCGCAGCTGTAGCGATTTAAGCTATCTGGCCGCTTACACATTTTCTCCCCTAAATAGTGAACAGATCTAAACCGTGACAGATACTTTCAGATTTTTTAAATGAACAGATAATTAACTCTTAATTTATAAATAAGAAAAAAAACTTACATACTCATAGTCTTATTTAAAATATTAAACAATTTATATATCATTGCATAAATTATTTTTACTAAAAAAGGGCTTAGACTGTTATTGGTTGTGCCATTATTTATAACAGGTCAATTTTGAAAATTGAACATAACTGTTGCTAATACATGTACAATATTTGTTTTTTTGTACAGATAAAAAACTAACCTTTTTTCTATGATAAGAATTTTTTGAAGGTCTGATTTGTATTTTGCATCAAGGGCACCGGGTGAAAACATGAAAATGTAACAAACGAACAGCTTTGTGGTAGATTGTATTTTCATGTTTTCATCTGGCACCCGGTTACTTTTTTGTACTATGTTGGTTTTCATGTGGCACAAATCACCAACAATAAATTTAGTGCAAATAACAATCTACTCTATGTAAAGTCTGTATGTGAGTTGACTCAGGAGACCTGGAGGTTGAGACCGGTGTCCCTCCATTACAATAGATGTAGATCAGGTTAAATTATGCCAAGTTCTCTTTTATAATAATACGGTATTTATTTCCCTTTAAGACCAAACAAATCTTTTGTGGTGTTATGTGTTCATGTTTGTCTTTGTTCCTTTTGTTATGGGTGATTGAACTGGTTTTGCAAGTTAAGTGATGGATGATTGGTTTTGGTATGCAAGTTATTTTTAGATGATTTAGTTCTGGGATAGCTAATATTTCTTGGTAACTGACCACTCCTTTCATTGCATTCAAGGCAATAACATCTCTGCATAACCTTCTAAAGATATACTATTTCTTTATAGAATTATTGATAGATTTATTTTCACAATTATTATTTTGAAGACCTCATCTATTTATAGCCTTGTTTCTTCTACACCTGAATAAATAAGTAAACATCACACACTGTTGTTTTACTAAGAACCCCACCACTACATAGATAAGACAGAAGCTGTCCTTTTCAAACTATGCACATGTTAGAAAAAAAAAAACTTTTCAGAATATGAATTTTTGAGACATTATTAATTATATTGCTTGATCCGAGTTTAAGGGCATTTTCAATCAATACATGTATTATCATTATAACTTTAAATGAAAGTCTCATCCCTTTAATAATAATGACATAACTGTAACTCTTTAAATTCAGAAATATTATAAGTTTCATCATATCAATATACTAAGATATACATGTATGCACATGGCATTAATAATTCCCAGTTTCTATTAAATAAATATAAAGTCCTAACATTAACATTAACATGCTTTTGATGACCTTACAACTGGTAAATTTTATACAACAAAAATAGTATTATTAGTAATTTCTAAGATAGACAGAAAAGAACAAATAATTTAGTAAACATGGGTTACTTCCCCTTAAAATAGAGTAAACATGAAACCCAAAAGAACACCCTAAACAGCACAATTATGAAATGTTGCACGCTCAGTTTTATAAGCCATGCAAATTAATGGTAAAGTATTCATAAAAAAATAGATGGCCATGTGACAGCAGAAATTGCAGAAAATCGGATAGCTTTCAACATCCGGATACTGGTACACTTTGTAACAAGAACCATTCTGCTCAACAGATAAACATAATAAGGATAAAATCAATAGGATAATCGTTTACAACAGTTCCATTACCTAGCCTTATACTCATTTGCAGGTGAGCTTTCTTCTTGTAGGAAAATTTTGAAAATATATAAATGAATGATTGAATGGATACGGCATCAATGTAGAGCACAACGATATTCGAAATCCGGGTTTAAGTATTGTCAATAAAAATAAGGGACAAGCTGTTAAACTTAGCCTGCAATTACGTGAAAATGATATCACAATGCACATGCTTTTTAAATAAAGTTATTAAATACAAATATAACAACATGTTTGTTTACTTGATTTTTACAAATCAAGTAAAACTAATTAAAACATGTGACTTATGTGTCACCGTATTTCTGCCAATATTGACAGCACTTATAAACTCAAGCATTTAAATTATTTTATTTTTATTTGTTAAATTAATAAAGCAGTGTTATTCTATGAAATCAATTGCATTCATTTACAATTCAGAACACGATGAATATAATAAAAAAAACTGAGCTTTTTATTTTTGACATATTTAAAGAAGATTGTATTACAAATTTCAAGAATATACTAAATAATCCTTATTGAAATGTTATAATATTCATTATTATTTAACATATTTTCAGCTTTGGATCGGAGCTTACAAGACACGCCAGTGCTTTAAGTGGGAAATATAAAAGTTTGCAAGCAATGGCTTCATATAGCCCTAAACTGTTAGAAAAGAAATACAATAACTGGGTTAAAGCTCAGTTAGCTGTGTTGTTTACTAAAGAAGGAGTTGAACCTTTTGTTTGTAATGAAATGCAACAATTTCAATTGAAATGTCTGCATGAAATATGCTACTTAAATGGATTATTTAGTGGGACTTGTTGTTCAAGTTGCTGCACGGAAAATGTTGTCCATTGCCGTACTGACAAAATTTGTAAAGTTATCCATGGGAAATGTACGTATCATCGAAATATTGCAACACGGTACAATTCTTCTGGCTGTCCTAATAAGATATGCCATAACTTCAAAACTGAAATACAGAATGCACATAGGTACAACGGTCCGTCGTACAAAAACAGTGATGCTACCCAGTGGTGCAGTAATTTCTGGGAAGTAGCAAAGTGCTTCATGCCTCCAGATGGATACAAAGAAAAGGCATCTGCATCAGAAACAGACTTCAATGGTATAATCAGCGTTATCCTTAATCACAAAGAGTTCCAGCGGAAAGTACATGAAAACCTCAATAATAAGATAAATATATTTGAAGAGGTAAACAATATTCCGAAACTAATTATGAAGACTAATATTAAGCACTTTGAAATAAAACAATCGTTAATATACTTGTTTGAACTTAGAAGAAATTTAACACTACGGTATGATATCTATAATAAATTAAGATTTTATTATGCTTTCTGGGAATCATTCAGTAGCTGAGTAAGGATTGAATTTGAACTATTAATTAACAGTTTGCTAGTTTACAGAAAATTTCATTACTTACTTACTTAAAAGCTAAATATTAGCTGAAAATATTATAAATCTTTTAACTATGAAAACGAATGTTTCTTAAATGACTGTATGACACAAATAATTATATTTCATTAAAAGCTAATGAAAACACTAATTCATTGCTGCACTTTTTTATCATTTGATATAGCTTCTTACTTCTAAATGTTTTAGATAAAAATTAAATGAGAACTGTTATTAATTTTTGACCAGGCGAGAGTAATTGGAAGAAATGTGCGACATTCATCAAAACTTGAAGTAGAAGATTCAGATCTCCAGAATTACTTTCAATTATTACAGAAACTACTTTCTGACCCCGTGTATTTAGGTACAAACACGCATGCGCAGAATGCTAAGCAGAAACTTATACAGGTAATTAAACTATTCTTACACATTTGAATAAGTTACACATTTCGACGTATGACTAGAACACAGTGCTTTCGTGTTTAATCTACGTAAAATGTGTTAAAGTCTAATTGAATATTTTTTATTATATTTTATAGAATTTTGAACAAATCATGTTGTTTCATTGATGGAAAAATACTGTTTCCGTTAAGTTATGGTCTATTCTCAAGATCGTTGTAACATAGTTTTTTTTAAATATTTTATTCAAGTAAATTCCAAAAGGTCATAGACCCATGAGGACAATATATTTACAAGTAATCAACATATTAACATAAAATGAATACATGCATAAAGAAATCAGCAGTTAAGTACATGATAAATATTAAACATAATTATCTGCTTCAATTCATCCGAAGTAAATGTTAGCATACACATATTTTATTTCTATATAAAGCAATGCAAATTATTATAAATTTTCTTAATACAATAACATGTGATAATTCTATATATTCACTAGCACAAATAGAATAGTAGCAAAATATGTGATCGTCGTATCTAAGTATAATTTCGGTAACTACTACCAGATGAGCTTGTCAAAATATTATAATTAAGGAGTCTCGTAGATCCTAGTTACCTCTATCTTCGAAAGTATAAAGATAAAGTGTGAAGATCCATAGAAAACATATTACAAAGTATACTCAATATCAAAAATTTAAATGATTTATGTGAAGGAAAATGAAGTCTTGTTACAAAAACGAAACAGCAAATATGATGATCGTTAAATACAAAACGGTTTGATAGTTAATTAATAAACCTTTGTATGTGAGATTCAAATAATAACAATAATTAATGCATAATACAATTCATGTCTGAATATTAAAAAGTATGCTTGTTCTTATTTCGAAAGCTTTATTGACAAAAATACTCAGATTTCTTATTATTTTCAAGTTCTCAGAATTAAATAGCTCTGTTAATTTTAACATATTTGGACGTCGCCAATAATAACAAGATATATACTTCTTTCGTATGAGATTATACATTGCACATTCTAAACAAAATGATATTCATCTTCTATGCCATTGCAATTATAACATATTCTTTCATTCAAAGAAGTGCATGTAGGTTTCGTCCATCTTCCCATTTTCTATATTCAATCTATGAGACGATACCCTTAATTTTGAAATACATATGCGATACTTTCTAATGTTAATTAAGCTTAAGTATGGCTGTAGTTGAAAAATTTGAAATGCACCTATAAAAATTATGCTCTACTAGAAATTTGAAGTCTACTATCCAAATTTGTAAAAATTGATCTTAAATTCTTTGCTGCACTAGATTCAAAAATACATTTGTGTTTCCAACAGTTTGAAAAAGCCATGCACATCATAAAAACCAAGATTACTAAGTACATTTCTTACAAGAGAACACCAGTTTTTTGTGATTAGGATTATTGTCTATATCTTCTTTTATCATAAGGTACACTTTTCTAACATATTAATTATCATTTAGATTCACAATTTTTAACCAGAATTTTATTATGTTGAAATATCTTATATTTTGAAAAGAAAGCCTACCCAGTTCACCATAAATGAAATCGTTTTGAGTCGTTTTTCTTAACACCTAACATATTTTTACAGAACTGCATGTGCAACCTTTCAATAGATTTCCCAGGTATAAAACCCAAACCTCGGAACTATAATTAAGAATAGGAGAAACAAGTTTGTCAAAAAAGTTCTAACCTATGTTTAACAGATATATCTGCAAATTTAAATAAATACTAATTCATTCTAAATATTGCCTTTGTGGCCTGTCCAGCAAGTGTACTTTGAGCTTCAGAGAAAGAACCACCGGTTGTAAAAACAATACCCAAGTAAGTGAACTTACTAACAATTTCAACAGGATTACCATTATAACTAAACGAAATATTACTTTGTAAACGGCCACCTTTGCGGAAAATCATGACTTTTAGTTTTTTTCTTAATTAACAACAAGTTTCCACTTGCAACAATATTCGTATAATGCATCTAAACTATTTTTGTAATTCAATACAACTATTTGCAAATATAAACAATATCATCTGCATATAAGATTAAAAAACATTTTAAACATGTGAACATCGATGCCTTCAAAACCTTTATCAATAAATATATCTTCTAAATCATTAAGAAACATTGCGAAAAGAAAGGGAGACAAACACTCGCCTTGTCGTACACCTAACATACATTGAAATTGCTCACTTATTTGGTTATAATATTTAACTCTAGATTTAACAGCTGAATACATAGATATAATGATATTTTAACATGTTTCCACGAAATACCTAACTTAATCATTTTCAACCATAAATTATCTATGACAACATAATCAAAGGCTTTACTAAAATCAATAAATGCACAAAAAAGTTGTTTCCCGTTATTTAACATATGACTAATAAGACCATGAAATACAAAAATATTATCTGTAGTTACCCATTTTTGACCTAAAATCCGATTGCGCCTCAACATAAACACCGTATTTTTCCGCCCATTCTGTTAACCTATTATTCAATATCCGCGTAAATAATTTCCCTAGGGTACTTAACAGTGTTATTCCTCTATAGTTGCTTTCATCGATTATATTGCCTTTTTGTGTAATGGAACAACATATCCCTCTGACCAACTTTCAGGAAAATACCGCGAAGTAAATATTTTATTAAATAACGACAATAAGAAAGGTAATAATATATGTTTGCCATGTATAAAGAATTCATTAATTTAATATATTTATCTGGTCCACTACTTTTATTTGATTGAAGTTGATTAATTGCTTTTAAAATACAACCCTCCTGTATTTGGCCATTTAATTCTTGAAACATTATCTTAAACTCATTTTGCTCATATCTTTCAATAAAAAACAGTTCATCTTCATCAGGTTGGAAAAAATGATCATCGGGGTTATTAACTGATTCAAAATATTTCTTAAAAACATCAACAGGTATATTCGATTGTCTTACGCCAGCACATTTGTTCAACATATTCCAATATAACTTAACATTTTTATGTTTGGCCTTGTTTTTCAGTCTCTCTTTTGTCATATTCGAGTTTACATTTTCTAACACAAGCCTTATATTGAGATCTGGCTGCGACCATAGCTTTCCGGTTAAAATCTGACTTGTCCTTCTAAAGAAATTTAACAATTTGTAAAAAATTAATCTTTTTTCATAACATTCTTCAGTATACCATTTACAACAAAAATTACTATTCACATCAAAAACAGAACCAGATTCGCATTCTACCTCTTTCTTAACAAAGGGAGATGCAACCTTAGAAATAATATTCGAAAATTCATCGATACATAAATTTATCTCATTTGCCGAGACAGAAGTATTTACATGTTCATTAAAACTGTGTAATTTTGACATAATATCAGCGGATGATAATCGTTTAATATAATCTTTTTTTTGTCACAATGCCACACATATTTAAAATTATCGCTTGCGGGTGACTCATTATTTACAATATGTACATCATTTAAAGCACTAGTGTCGAAGAATGCAAGTGAAAAATCAATAAGGCAATGATCAGATAAAATATTGGGTTCTAAGATCTCAAACTTATCTATAACAATGGAACAAATTTTGTGTAGTTAAAACATAATCCACATCACTCGATCCCCTACTACCTACAAATGTGTAACTACCAACATTTCTATCAGCTCCAAAACGACCATTTAATATACGGAGACCTGTTTGTTTACATATATCGAGAAGAAATAAACCACTGTCATTCAAATGGCCTTTATCCTTAGAACAACGTTTTATCAACATAGTCATCCGGTAAAACGTGCATGTGTAAAACATTATCATCTTGTACAAAACCCGGGTTGTCTGATGTACGGGCATTCATGTCTCCGCAGACAATTAAATTTAAATCATTTTCATACTTAGAATATAAAGTTGTAATAAAGTCAATTAATCGATCAAAAGTATGCGTTTCAATCATTGACGGTCGACTGCCTTTTTTCAGGTACAACGTAACAAAGACAAATAAACAAAATCATTTTGTAAAAATAATTTTTGAGCGTTGATTTTGATACACAAATTATATCATCCTTACTTTTGAAATACTAAAGTGTCATGTGTAACAAATTTGATTTCTAATATATATAATAATACCTCCTGACGCTCTTTTGCTATTTTTCTTAATTTCATTTCTATTTAATACAAAATGTTCAAAATTCTCTACACACAAGTCCGAATGCTCGGATGTCCAGGTTTCTGTGAATGAAACAATATCATGATTAAGAAAAATGTCTTTTAAATCTTTTGAATTCAGTTTATCAGTTCGTCTTGTTTGTAACATAGAAACATTCTTATTTAATGAACAGAACAAAATTTTATTTACAGACTTATACATACTAGGTACATCGTCTTGTTTATCAAAAGGTTTGATTAAACATAGTCACATGGCATACGAAAACATACAAATTATAAACATTCTTAAATAAATAAACAATGATTGAAGAGGACAAACTTTATGCAAGATGATAATTACAAATCAATTTTGTTAAGAGTTAATGATTGCGTTTCTCAACGATAAAAATTCATGGATATATTTAGATAACTTAATTAAAATACTTTAAATTTATTTTGCGTTGAAAGTAGATCTATAAATTTAAACACAGATGGTCTAACATAATTACATTTTTTATGATACTGCATTCGAAGACTATTAAAACAAGGGCATACACATATAAAATGGTATTCATCTTCTATGTCAAATGTATTGCAACATAAACAATATCGTTGATCACGAGGTGTATTATTCCTATTGTATCTCCCAGTCTGTATTCTTAAAGGATGTACAGATTCTTTCCAATTCTTTAGATTTCGTGTATCCCCAAATTTAAGACCCGTATCCTAAAATAGACCCAATGAAAGCATCAAATAATTGACATAATATTTTAGGTTTGAGATCAAACTTTTCACAATTATAAAACAAAACATTAAGAGCTTTTAAAGCTTTTCCTACCAAGTGTTCTTAGTTAAGCGAAAAATTACCTGTAGTATTAAAAACAGTACCTAAATAATTAAAATCATTCACAACTTCTAAAATTTGGCCATCATAGGTCCAGTTCTCATTTTGTAATAGAGCAATATGAATGTAAAACATCCAAATGGTTTTGCAGTTCCAATGGTGACTTGCCTAAGATGGCCATATCGTCAGCAAATAACAATAAAATCAAATGACAGTCCTGATTCTTGACCAGTTTGCAAATATAGCTCTAAATCCTCTACAAAGAGAGAGAATAAAATTGGTGAAATTACCTCCCCATGACGTAATCCAATAGCATAATAAAAATAATCAGAATAATTCAAACAAGATTTGACACAAGATTTAACTTTTTGATACATGTCTCTTATAATACGCAGCAATTTACCTTTTATTCCTAATTTATACATTTTCAGCCATAATGCTTTTCTATTATATATACTGTCAAAACATTTCATCATATCGACAAAACAACATATAAACGTTTATTTTCATTAACAAATTTTTGAATTAATGACATAAGAACAAAAATTGCATCGTAGTAGAACGCCCTTTACGGAAACCAAATTGTGCATCTGATATGATATTGTTACTTTCACAAAAGGATTCTATTCTAACATTAATTACAGTGGTAAATAATTTTGACACACAACTAACTAATGTTATGCCTCTATAGTTATTGACGTCATCAGTACGCCCCTTCTTATGAAGAGGGATAATAATTCCCTCTGTCCATTGTTCTGGATAAAAACCAGAGTTTAACACAACATTAAATATATCACATATATGGGCACCTAAAATATCGATGCTTTCTATGAAATATTCATTCATTAAACAATCGCTACCTAATGATTTGCCACGTTTTACAATAATTCAGCATGCAATTTACAAATTAGTGATGACAAACATTGCACACGTACTTGTTACAAATAAATACTATAGATTAATTATATCTTTGAAATGTACACTTTATGATTAAAAGATATTAAATTTTGATGTACTTGTATATTTATTGATATTGTATATTTTATGGTATTAATAATTACAGTTAGAAAATGACACTCTTGTCATTGGTAAAGATGATATAAGAAAAGTACTAGACGATGTGGCAATAGTAATTCAATACAAGATAAAGGCTGGATTAGATGATCAATATGACAAAATAAAACTAGAAATGATTAGAAAAGAACAAGAAGATCTTCTATCTCTTGAGTCTAAAACTGCCGAGGGTATGACACAGATACAAAATAAAACTGATGTTTTAGTAAAAAATTTAAATGAACTAGGAGAGACGTTACAAAAAGAACTGAAGACAGCAAGTAAAGCCGAGAAAGAAGAACAGTATATTGATTCTAAACAACGTAAGTGATATTACATTTATTTTTGTTTATCACATGACATCATGGTGTGTGATATAACTATAACGAATTCCTTTGTACTTAACACCTGATAAAATATAGCCATTGAATACCATTGAATAGCACCACAAGTCATGATGTTCTAAAATCATCCATTCATTATTCTTGAGTCCAAAAATTTGTATCAAATGCATACTGCACTCCATTTAGCCTCGCGTTTATTTTTCAAGCCCAAATCAAAGCCATATCAAATCCATTTTGTACACCTTCAAGCATCGTTTTCATTTTCCGAGTCCAAAATGTCCATATCAAAAACATTCTGCACTCGAAGTGATCGAATGTGTTATATACAATTTTCTTATACTAACACACCAGAATTGTTGATCTTAGGTGCCATCTTCATTTAATGTATTTTAATGTAAAACTTAAGAGTTCGTTATAAAATGTTGAGTACCATACTTATTCTAGCCAATATAATTATATTTATTTATGTAGATATTTTCAGGTGAAATATTTAATTAAGTATTCTTTTGTGCGACTATAATGCCAATAACTTAGATATTTGACATTTAGCAGTCCTTGGCGGATATATGTTATCCAAATCATGCCCTCTTAGGTCAAAAATTGCCTACCCTTATGGCTGCTTGGTTTATATACTTGAATTGTAAATCTTCTTTGAAAGTACAATGCCAAGGGTTTAAATATTTTGTACATAGTATCATCATGTGATGCACTACAAATGTTTATATAAACAACGCCTGTTCGTGCTTTCATGGAAAGTGCACCGGAATAATTGGGAAAACAATATTCGACATTTTTAGAAATTTCCGAACGTTAAAAAAATAACTTACACACCTCTTTTAATGTTTAACGCATGTGTGACACTTCTTTTGAGAAACAAGTCAAAACATTAACATTTTTTCTCACAAGTTGAAATATAGGCTTATAGTATTTATAATTCGAGCCACTGTTGTGAATTGTGTTTTCTGGCTCATCTGAGCACAAAATGATACAACTGTGTCCGTGGACCTCCAGGAAAGTATGCGGTTATTTTGGAGGACAGTGAAAGACTGACATATGTTTAAGTTAACTTACCCGGGACTTGAAGCCACAAGTCTCGCGCTTTAACCGACTGAGTTATGCGTGCTGGCAGAATCATTCTATGTGATATACGTTTTATTTATTGTGGCCTCTGCTTCATTGATGATATATAATTTATTATAACTATCCTGTGAAATGTAATCAAATTTTAAAGGTGAGAAAAATGTGTAGCCTGACCAGGACTCGTTCCAGGGACCCTCAGAATATCGTACCGCGGCTCTACCGACTGAGTTATCCGGCCGCTTACACACTATCTCCCCTAATTAGTAAACAGTTCTGAACCATAGCATACTCCCCCGCTATATTGAAATGTGTCCTCGAGTTTCTCAGCGATAGAGAGCAATGTTAATGCAGTCATGGTCCCCCGTTGAGCGCCAAATGTTACAGAGTTAGAAAAATGTGCAGCCTGACCGGGACTCGAACTTGGGACAATTGTTGGTTATCGGACTCAAAAATCACTATCAATAATCGGACCACCACAATCGATTGTCTGCCGATAGTATAATCAAGTTTCGCACTTACTATGGCCCTTTTTTTCTTTTAAGGTACCAAACCTTGTATGTATTTGTTTATACAGTAGTGACCACATTTTGAGAATAAATAAACTCTTGTCTCCAAGATTAGAATATGATTTGCTCTTTGAATTCAAAACAAACAACACAAATACCTAATACCACTTTTTGACAGTCAATTTTTATAATACAACTTAATGGCAGTCAATATTAGTACATGTTCAAGTCAACAGGTAAAATATTAAGGAGTAGTATTATAAATCACTTATTTAACTACAGTGGATAATCATTTATATGTTTATAATGTAATGTTATTACACACTTTAATTTTCTAAAGTAGTATAACCATGTTACTCTCCTGCGCATCGGTCGAATGTTCCACTATCGCTAACTGTCTGAAGTAACGTGAGTGTATTCAGCGAGCTGCGAAGATAGGGTATAACCATGTTAAATAGGTTTTGAATACAAAAAAGACTTTAGGATCGTCTGAAATTAAAGAAGAAAACTTCTATTTGACTTCGTGTAAAAAGTTACGCCCTAGGCAATTCAGCAATGGTAGAACATTAAAATAATCGATTTTTAAAAAGGACTATCGATTGTCGCCGATTTTTGGGTGGTCCGATTAGTTATCGATTTTCAAAGACAATTGGGACACCACTACTTGGGACCCTCGGAATATCGTTCCGCGGCTCTATGTACTGAGCTATCCGGCCTCTTTCACATTATTTCCACTAATAAGTGAACAGTTCTGAACCGTGACATATGTCTCTTTTATTTAATACACATATTGGTTTACAAAATTAAGGACAAAATATTTTGCTGCTTTTTCAAGTAGCGTTTTAACCATTTAGCAATGACTTTAAAATTTGATAATATTAAATATAGTTTTGAAGTGACTATGATTTTATTTTGTTAAGGAACTACTCGCATGCCAGTATGTGTCATTCACATTAAGGCAGCATACTAGATATACTTTTTATACCAGATTTTTGGAAGCATGCTTTATCAAATTCAAGATAAAATGTTTACAAAAGATATATAGCAAATAATAAATCATAATCAGGGCTTGGAATCAAAACTGCGTCGTATCCTACAAAATGTAAACAAACGCCGCCATCTTGGAACGAAAAATGTATGTTTTTGTTTATAACTCTTTTTTGACTGAAAACCAGATATATGTATTAACACGCTACACTATTTTCCGCTCCGTTCAGTATATGTTGCTTGCACAACTATTTTGTAAAACAAAAGTTATATCAAACTTCCAACTCGAAGCGGAGCAGAATTTTTATGAAAATGTGTGGATACGACGCAGTTCATATTGCTTTATCTATCGTTTTTTCCTTCAAATCAATTATATATTTGTTTCAGTGTTCACCATAAACTTCGAAATATGATTTTGCATCATTTACTTTAATTTCATTAAAAAGATATGTTTATTTTCTAAGAAAACGATGATTTTTACGAAATGATACGACGCAGTTGAAAATAAAATATGATACGACGCAGTTGTATTTTTGGCAGTCTTTTCAACATGGAAAAATTTTGGCAATATGTTTCTGTTTTGTGGAATAATCACTTGCGCTAGATAAAAAAACCCAGATCATTCGCGGTGTACAGCAATGTTCTGTTGTTTTTGATTATTTAGAATACATTGTGTCATGTCCAATATAACATTTAATTTGAAAGTTTGCATTGCGGAAGCTACTTTTCAGTTAAACATGAACATGTTACCTAATTGATCATAACTGAAATAATGTCTTATATTTTCCTGTATGTTTAATATTATCCCTATTTTTTTCGCAAAAAAATGTAGAAATCTATTACTTTGAATTCATATGTTGGCTAGCTACACTCTAGGTAACTGTGGTTCTGCATGTTTTGGGTAATGACTGCTTTTTTGTAGTTTGTTTTCAAACTTTCACTCTACACATTAGCTTTACTAGGGGCGAGGACCTCAGGTGCGCCTTTGTGCATTATATCAGACAAAATGTTGCACCTGCAGAAGGGCATCTTGTTAGGTTTTTCACACGGAATAATCAATAGTCCCAGGTTGTTTTCAAATTCACAGCAGTTCAGGACATGTGATTTAAAGTCAGTTAACATAAACAGCTCGGCCTGGGTCGGACACATCTGTCTGAATTGTTGGTTTTTTTTAACAAAACTTGTTAACGTCAGCTGTATAAATATGCAGCTTTTTTATTAACTTCTGGCGTGAATTTTTAAAATTATAAATATTTGAATTCATTATAAAGAGAATAATATTTAAATTTCTTATTTCGGTATGACTAGCAGAGAAATTTTCAATGTAAACAGGGGGTAATCCTCTGTGAAGTCATTTTCTGAAAACTTTTGTTTAAGTTTTCAGGCAATTCATTATCAAATAAAATTCACACCTTTGTATGAAGATATGTTAAGATGCCATGTCTCTAGTCTGTTGAAAATTCGATGCGATAATCTGACCTAAATTTTCTGTAACTTCTTCAATACTGTTGAAAGATCATGTCTACCTATATCTGTATCAAATTTATCGGTGCACAGCGTAAAATACCTTTGCAAAACGGACACCTTCTTTACTAGAAAATAATAAGTTGTTGTATCGTATGTAACTCGATTTTGAAAATTTTAAGTTTTAATGGAAAAGATTGATACTTAATAAGTGCAAATATAGAAAATACATTCCGTAGACCTGTTCTCATCGGCGATAAAGAAATGCAATACGACAAAATCAGCGGGCTGAACATAAAATAATAAACGACACGCATAACCTACTTGCAAAAATATATTGTAGCTTAACCATTTATAATATAATTTAAAAAAATTAATGTTCAGTTTCAAATAATAAAGCTCATCTGTTCTCACCGATTATTAAAATGAATACAATAAAATCGGCACGTAAAACACATAAGTAATAATTGACGGAAATTATTGCTAATTACAAGTAACAAAGGAAGGCATGCAATTTGCGTAAAGCTCTCTTCCGATAGCAAGAGACCTTTTCAAAATCTTTAATTCTTTCTCTTTTAAAAAAAAAACCAAGAGGGCCATGATGCCCTGAAGTCGCTCACCTGTACATAGGCCCCCGGAGCGGGGCCCGTTTAAAGCCCAGGGCTTTTATTTGAACTAACTTGGTAGACAACCATTAAAAGATGTTTCATGCTAAACATCTAAGGTATAGCTCGTTGGGATTTTTAAAAGAAGATTTTTTTAAGTTTTTTCTTTACACATGTAGTTAAAAACAATGACACACCTGGGGCAGGGCCAGTTTTGACCCCAGGGATTTTATTTAAACAATTTTTGTAGACACTTACTAGAAAATGTTTCATGCTTAATATCTCAACTCTTGCTTTTCGGGGTTTATCAAAGAAGATTTTTAAGTTTTTGCTATAC